TGTGATTTCAAATGAGTTCCAAGCACTTCCTCAGCAAGCACCCAGCAGCAATTACCCTGCTGCTGAAGACTTCTCATCACAGAAAGCCTTCAGTTTTAGAGACAGCCAACAAGCAAGGCTGTAACAAATGATGACATATGTTTCAGCCCCCATTCACTAGCGATTTATACCCCCAGAGGAAGAGGGACTCAATTTTTGTGCAAATTCTACAGGCACATCCGACAATGCTGCTCTCTTCTCTAACCCACACAAACTGGGCATTCATCAACCGGGATTACTTGTCTCAAATGGGGACTCACAGTTGCTCAGTGGCTCGGGTGGGGGTGGGATTGCTCGGTGTCAAAAAGGGGCAAAGTACAAGGAAAGGACACGAATCCATCAGGGAAGTGGGAGCTGAGTTAATTCATTGAGACAAAATAGTGAGGTTTTCAAAAGCCAATGCAAAAGGAAAGACCGCATCCCATCCCCACCTCTGGCCATTCAGGGAAAGACAGCGTAGAAACTGACCCCAGCCACACCCCAGGGGTAACATTTCCCCAAGTGAAAGCTGCTCCAGAACAATTCATCTAATAGATTACACTGAGACAGGCTTCACTTCGCAACCATGTTGCTCTCTTTTCTTTCATACACCATTTGAGGAACTATCTCCAGACAAGGCCAAGGGTTACAAAATGGGCAGGGTAAATTTCCACCATGTCTCCTCTCTCTGGGTACAGTAAGTCTGTTGCCTTGAGACAAGGAAACCAAAATCTGATCTTTCCCTCCACAAGCCTACAAGCAAATGTCACACTGCCCTCTGGAGGTAGTCTCATTGGGTCTAACCCTGAATTCGTGATGGCATCCAGCTGCCAATATGGGTTGTGGAAGTTCAGAACGCTTTTTCTGATGGTGGGGGGTAGGGAGAGGTGGAGGGAGTATGGAATGGGGGACAGTGGAGAAACTATCAACTGTTCACTAACTTCTTGTGAGTGAGTGTGTGTGTGTGTGTGTGTGTGTGATAGAGAGTGCGAGTGAGGAAAAGGAAAGAAGATGAATAAGTAAAGATTGCCTCCCAGTCTCAGCAGTGTCAAGAGATGTCAAGATGTTTGTAGGCAGGTTCTCAAAAGTGGTGGTAGGAGGGCAACTATGGTTAGTCAGTGAGGATGGCTGTGGTAGAATGGATTTTCCAAAGATGGCCGCCCTAATATATTCCATTCCCATGTCACCTCCTTACAATGTCATGTTGAGGTGAAGTCTATGTTCCCTCTTAAATCCAGTGGGACCGTGACTATGGCAGAAGACACACTATGTGACTCAAAGGCTAAGTTATAAAAAGCTATACAGTTTCCACCTGGGCCTCTCGGGATGTTCACTCTTGGGACCCAGCCACTCTGCTGCAGGGAGGACGAACAGTTACACGGAGGGCCCACGTTCCCACCACAGTAGCAGCTGAGTCCCAGCCAATAGCCAACATCAACTACCAGGCAGACATGCGAGCAAGCAAGCCTTCAGACGATTCCAGTCACCCACCCTGCAGCTGACACCAAGTGGAGCAGAGAAGATCTGTCCCCACTAAGCCCTGCTCAAATTGCAGATTTGTGAGCAAACTAAGTGTTCTCACTGTGTTAAGCCACTGACACTGGACGGAATCTTCTTGGCACAGAATAAACATGACCTGAAAATAAATGGGACCTGCCTCTCTGCCTTTCATAGATTTTTTTAATTTGGGTTGATTCTGTATTAACCTTAGCTTTTTTCTTCTTGGTCCCAGATTCAGCCATCCACGGGATATATCTCAATTGAACTTGCGTGTGTAGGTGGTGCTTTGTACAAGCTTGAACTGCGGCCACTATTTAGTAATCAGAAGATTTTACTTACACACACACAAAGTCTAAATTTCTGTCTTCTCTCAAAACAAAACAAACAGAAGATCTGGCAATACTTGATTTACATTCCCTCATAACAGTAGTTCGCTCACAAAACCTCTGATGTCCTCACCCGCCTCGGTTCTCTGCTGCATTACATCCTGCCTGTTCCACTCAAGCCCTGTCACTCTTAAATTTACGGCCTGACCTCCACAGGCATTTGGGTTGGTGACATCTATTTAGCAACAATTCTCAACCTGGTTGGTTGGGCTTTATTCTTATATAGTTATGTAGGAGTTAACATCCTATTGAAAAGAAGAGTTTAAGATAATCAGAAAAATAAAAGAATAATGAAAGAATAAAAAATATCTAAAGGTCAAGTTTTTAAAAATTAAACAAGAAAAGATGAAATATATGGAAAAAATCCAGAAGGGGAGGTGACTGGGATGTCAATGTAGGTTATTATCATCCAGCTTGATGCCATTTCCCACTATCTGCGGCCCAGTGGCCACTGCACGTACATTGATGCCCCAGAAGCCAATGCTTCTTGTTTCATTGTTTCATGTACAGTTTGTACTCCCTGGGAGTAAAATTACACGAAATCCAAAGTCTACTAATGGAATCACATATGCTAGGATGAAGAACCCTATTTACCTTTTGGTATAGATGCTGACAACAGCCTTATCACACTACTGAAGGAAGAATCTCAAATAAATAGTTTCTAGGGAGAAGATTCAATTTCAAGTGTTGGAAAATGGAATCACCTAGCCTGGATGACCCAGCTGGAACTGACATTTCTTTGTATTTTTAGTCTTCGGTGTCTTTAATTTTATTAAAGAGGTGTTTTTTGGTTTGTTTTTTTTGGGGGGTGAGGAAGATTAGCCCTGAGCTAACATCTGTTGCCAATCCTCCTCTTTTTGCTGAGGAAGATTGGCCCTGGGCTAACATCCGTGCCCATGTTCCTCTACTTGATATGTGGGACGCCTGCCACAGCACGGCTTGATAAGCAGTCCATAGGTCCACATCCAGGATCCGAACACGCAAACCCCGGGCCGCCGAAGCGGAACATGGGATCTTAACCACTACACCACCAGGCCGGCCCCTAAAGAGGTTTTTAATAAATTGTCTTTCCACTTAACTGAGTAGCATAATTTTATTGTATTTTATATGGCCTAAAATGAGTAGGATGTATAAAGAAATGGAATAGTAAAAGGTGTCAGCCAACCAAGAAAATGAATATCTTTATATATGAAAATAAGGATTGTATTTCCTGAGGAATAAAAATGGAGGGGAAATCCTATTTCTTTCTCATTCAATATATTGGGAAAGTGTCCACTTCTAAGGTTTATTTCACAGCTGTATGTATTCACTAATTACTTTAAGAAAAGTTCTATGGTTCAAAATCAATCTAAAGAGCACTTAATTCTTACGCAGTCTTTATGAAGAACCACCAGCAGTGTGAAGACACTCTGTAGTTTAACAGTCTGTGCTTACGGTGAACCCCTTACTGCATGACGAAACAGGATTCCAGTCTTGGCTTTTCATTTCATATCAAATTGGGTGGGCTTTCTAGAAATGCCACTCTTTGGTAAAAACAATATCAAGTTATCTTTGAAAGTATACCCTGCTTTATGATATTACCATAGTATGATTTCCCATGCTCACTTCAACAAAACATACAGATAGCTAAGGGGCCATATTACCCTCCCCACTCTAAAAAAACAAAACGACTTGGCTCAAATACGTATTTAAATAAGGTATTGTCTACTTCATATCACAAAAGAGTTAAGTTATTCAGTTAGGGAGGCCTGTGTTTAGGATCCAACTCTTGGTTTATAAATTTAACGTCTGAGATGCTGCAGCAGGAGAAAATTTATACATCAATGACTTCAGCAGAGTGCAATCCTCATAAAACTTTATTTTATTGGAGTTGTAGAGTACTTATTTTGGGAGGAACCGATTAGTTTATGAAAAAATACACAACAGGGTGGTTTTGAAGTTTTTATTGCTGTTATTTTCTTTGTTTCCAGCCAAAGTTAATAGCTCTGTGGCAGAATTAGCGTTCAGATTTGACAGCGTCTCAGTCAGAACGTTGTGGAAATCAAATTTAGAAGTCAGGAATAAAATTACCAAGAAATGGACTTTGAAATCCATCGGGTACATTGATTTTAATATCATCAAAGCCTTAACACAGTGCCAGAGCAACTAGGACAACTGCATCTACATCAAGAGACTTTTAGCAAAGGGCAGCATTTTGAATGAACTTGGATAAGTAACAAAGAGCGTGTATTTACCAAGATGTTATGTCATCGGGGAAACGTGTCCAAATGCTGGTCAAGATCAAAGAAACAAAGATGTACAAAAAGCCTTATCATACCCTATCATTCTGGTCATCTCACAATTCTTTTTTTTCCTGTTCATAAAGACATCTATGGACAGGCAACATCTCTGGTTCTTTCAAAGCACCTCGGCAGCTGTCAAATTAACTTTGTTGGCTGCTAAAGTAAGGGAAACGTTTGGCGCCTTCCTAGGGGATTTTGCCTGGGGACTAGGTTTTGCAGGTCTCCAAATGCGGCTTCCTAAGCGGCTCTCGGAACAGCAGAGTTCCTAACCGATTCTTGGGGACCCTTCCTTCATTTCTCCCGTGAGGTAGCTGCCACCAGCCCCGCGCCTGGGGGCTCCAAAATCGTTGTGATTTGGGAAATTCTGAGATCCTCGACCCTAGACAGCAAGCCAGCAAAGTGCCACGGCTCTCTGGCCCTCCAAACCTGAGAGCCGTCCTGTTAGGGCTGCAAAGCCGGGGTCCCTCTGCTTTCCCATCCAGGGATGCAGGCGGATGCATGACAGGTGTGTACGTGGGGGTCTATGAATGGGGCGCTGGGGACAGGAAAGTGTTCAAAGACGGAAAACTGCCTGGGGTCGGTCACCCGTGCTCAGCTGCCCGGGGCGACAACTCGGAGTCGGTAGCGGAGGTGGGGAGCGGGGCGCGGGCGCCGTGGGCCCCGTGGTGCAGGAGCCGACGGCGCAGGGGAGCGCGCGGGGCCGGGGCTGCCGGGCGACAGCGTCCAGCCCCGGCCGGAGAGCGCGGGGGCGCCGGGGACCCTGCACCCGCGCCTCCCGTGGTGGGGACGGGCTCGGGGGGGGGCACGCGCTTACCTGCAGGTAGGGCCGGCCGTGGGCCACCCCGCCCACGACGATGTCGGCCGCGGCCATGGCCCCGGTGGGCGAGAAGCCGAAGCCCACGTAGCCGGCGGTGCGCACCTCGAGGCGGAAGGCGAGCCGGCCGCCCCGCGGGCCCCAGCTCAGCCAGT